TTTTTGAAGTGTTTTATGACTTGATATGTTTATTATATTGTTTTTGTTGTTTATGGTTTGTTGTTGATCAATGTTTTTGATGAATGTTATTGTTAACGTTTGTTTAAAAGTATGTGATTTGAGTATTTTTCCAATCCCTTGCCGAATATATAACTTTCTAAACTGCATTTGAAAATAAGTACACGTTCAATTCTTGACAAGTATTCTTCACACTGTTAACCACATGTTGTTCCTTGACTGTTAGAATTTGGTTTAATGATCCTATATCTTTCACCATCCCTCTCTCCACCTCTAATTTTGTATGCAAAGTAAATAATATTTTACAAAAACAATTAGAGGTGAAGTCAGGGGCGCTTGAAAGACTAAGATCATTAAACTAAGTTAATATTGTCAAAGAACAAAATACATATAAGGTGTTGAAGATCGCTTATTAAGCATTGAACGTGAACTTATTTTTCTAATATAACTTAATTTTTCATATTATAATGTTCTAATGCAGATTGGAAGGTTATATGTTTAGTGAGCATTGGCAAAATAAGCATTCCACATAATTTTTAATAAACTTAGGTGTATATTTAATCACGGTTGTTTAGAATAACCGTGATTAAATATGTTGCATTAAATAATACCACAACAGTTGGTTAAAGTAACTGTTGTGGTATGTAGCACGCTACATGGATACAATCACGGTTGCAAGACCGTGATGGAAATCATCATACATACAATCACACCTTACAACACAACGGTTAGACCCGTGTGGTGGTATCCCTTTTCCAAGCGTTGTGATATGTATTTACCATAGTAGTGATTTTTGGAAACATGAAGAACATGGTTTTGCAAGCCCAAATTCGATTCTAACCGTTGGATCAATCCGATGCTTTTTATTTTTTTCTTTCGCCACATGTCACCATATGATTGGCTCGTGTTGATTGGAGTAGGAGGGGATCCTGTATAAGATCCCCCGCATGAGCTCACCGTGATGCTTTAATCATGGCTGCTAGCGTGTATCTTACGGTGGGGATAGACTCAACCTAGGAGCGGTTGATTGGGCGCATTTGGACTTTTATTAGGCTCAGATTGCTAATCCCCCCACCCAAACAAATATCGTCTTAGAAGACACGTAAGCACACTAGTGGGAACTTGAAAGATTAAACATGGAGCAAATGCAATAGTCTTCCAGTGATTATAATCGTCGTCGACGGTTAATTTGTAAATAGAATAAATAGCAGACTCATACATGGGATCAGGACTCACAAAGTTTCATACATACTCTCCATACCACTGGAGTACCCGAGTTAAAGAGCGAAATAATTGAGCGAGAAACACGTATGCGTTAGCATCCATCCTTTTTTCTTAGTCTTTTTGCTTCCTTAAACGCAACTCTTGTGCCTCTATACTACTATGTAACTCTTCAATTCTCATGGTGTTGAGGTCCTTAGAGTGTTCAAATGCTACAACAATGTAATCGAACTGAAGAATAAGTGATCTTAGTACCTTTTCAATTATTATTGGGATAAATCTTGAGCGTAAAACAACACATGCATCTGAATCATCCACCGATTCCAATTCTTTCCATAAAATATGGGAAGCCTTGTGTTCAAGCTACCATTTTCGCTGCTCATCTTCGTTCTTGTGAAAATTCACCCTGATCTCACTGACACTAGTGTTTTCTAATGCCGCACAATCAAGAAATGTGATTCTGTTTCGATTTAGATCTTCAATTCACTATGAATTGAATGAGCAGAATCAATCACGCATGCCTCACATATACTCGTGTTTTTCGTTCCTGAATCGAAACTAGAGCTCTAGATAACAATTGTTAATGCACAAGAATGAAGAATAAGATGAAAGATGTTGGAAGAGAAAAACATAATCTGTAACTAACTTTCTACTATCAGATGCAAAACAGTTATATTCTATTACAAATTAAACTAAACTCTAGCTTATATATAAAAGCCCAAGATAAATGAACTTCAAATACAAATCAAATTAAAATAAGTGGAACTGAATCTAAATTACAACAAAGAGAAGAAGATTTTACCCCATACCCCCACCCCTACACTCAAAAATATTGGACCAAAATACCCTTATTTAAATATCTATAATTTAAAAAAAAATCAGTTTCACTTCATTTCCACTTATTTCCATTTCAAGACTTCCAGAGAGCTCTTCATCCATTTACAAACCGGAATTCTTCTACCAACTCTTCCAGAACACATTTGTTTTTCAATACATACCGGAACTCTAAGAGTAAGTCTTCCGGTTTGTATTTTGTTTTTGTTTCTTCACCGAAACTCTTTCCTGAAGACTTCCGGTTCACAAAATTTTGAGTTTATTCACCGGAACTCTTTCCTGAAGACTTCCGGTTCATAAAATTTTGCGTTTCTTCTCCGGAACTCTTTCTTGAAGACTTCCGGTTCATTGTTTTTTTTTAATTTTTAATTTTTAATTATATTTATTTGTTTATTTATTTTTTAATTTTTAATTATATTGTTTTTTTTCCAATGGTGCGCACACGAGGTAGAGATGGTAGGATCCCTCGTAGACTAGGACAGGGCGAGTCATCGAGAATGGCTGAAGAAGAGCATTTTGATGCATTTGCATCAGCATCCGAGCCGGTTGGATATCCAGGAGGACCGTATGATACATCTCTGTTAGTTAAGTACGAACAACATGTTGCATACCGTATATGGTTCGGTGAGGTAAGTAAACGAAAATTATTTAATATTGAATAGAATTCAAATTTTTAATATTGAATTTTATAATATTTTTACTTTTAATTTTTTTCAGGAGAGAGGGTCGAAGAAAGAGTTAAAGGTGGCGGGACATGGGTTGAAGTTGACTCAGAGGGTTCCACTACAGCTACCCGGAGAGATGGAGAGATGGATATCTAGGTCTGGTCTAGCTTCACTCCAGAGAACCAGTTTAACAAAGATAAACACAAATCTAGTTTCCGCTTTTGCAGAGAGGTGGGATCTAGAGACATCTTCATTTCACATGTCGTTTGGTGAGATGACGATTACTCTAGATGACGTATCTTGCCTGCTTCACTTGCCCATCAGGGGAGTCTTCTGAATCCCTCAAGATATCAATGAAGCGCTTGCTGTTGAGTGGGCTGTTGATTATTTAGGAGTGTCACAAATTAATAGCACAACAACAAGTCCGTGAGTGCAGGGGTTCCTACTATAAGCTGGAGTGGTTATATGATCGGTTCGTAGAGCACAGAGCTACATCTCGATGGGATTATGCCACTAGAGCTTATTTTCTAATGTTAGTGGGTTCCACTATTTTTGCGGACAAGACGTTTACGCTTGTCGGGGCACGATACCTCTCACTGTTTATAGACTTGGATGACTTATCAGGATACAGTTGGGCAGCAGCTGCGTTGGTTACTCTTTACAGATATCTCGGAGATGCTTCCATGTTCAGCTGTAAGCAGCTTGGTGGTTATCCGACTCTCCTTCAGGTATTTATTTTAATTTAGTATATTTTGTTTTAATTAATTTTATCTAGTATACTAATTTTATTTATCTAGTTTACTATGTTATAATTAATTATTTTAAATTTAGTAACCATATTAATTTTGTAACAGTGCTGGATTCATGAGTATTTTCCAACACTTGGGAAAAGAGGAAAGAACTGGATACCAGCTAATAATGTGGGTCTCTCTCGAGCGATGAGATGGTCCTATAGGCAAGGTGCCTTGAAGGTGGATGACTTGCGGCCTATTCTGGACGAGCTGACATCTGTCGATGTCATATGGCGCCCATTCGAGAATCATAGAGTATGGCGTCAGTTTGATGAGTTATGTCTCTATAGGGAGTGTCTGAGGTGGGGTGACACTATTGTTCCATACTTGCCTGACAGATGTATGCGTCAGTTTGGATACAGGCAGTATGTTCCACATCCACCTCTTGATTATCGTGTTTCGCATCCTCGTCTGGTACCTCCCAGTGTTGATGCGACAACAGAGATGCCAGTTCCTGTATATGAAGCAGGACCATCTGATCATATAGTGGCTCGTATGTCTTCATTGATTCATCGTTATCTTCAACAGGCTGGTGCTGAAGAGGATGACCCACAGTTTACTGATTTGTTCGAAGCTTTACATCTTGGTCGATCACAGTGACTTATATTTATATTTATGGTTATATGTTAACCTTTAGACTTATTTGACCTAATTGGTTTATGTTCATGTGTTAACTTTTAGACTCATTTGACCTATTTAGTTTATGTTTATGTGTTAACATAATTCACGATTCATGTTTTGAAATTAAAAATGAGTAACATAATTCACGATTCATGTTTTGCAATTAAAAATGAGTAACATAATTCACGATTCTTGTTTTGAAATTAAAAACGAGTAACATAATTCACGATTCTTGTTTTGAAATTAAAAATGAGTGACATCATTTATAATTCATAATTCGTTGGTAATATAGGCGTAAGTTGTTGCCAATATTGTAGACGTCCTGCAAATCCTATCATCCAAGATGTTGCTGCTAGAGAACAAAACTTCTTCCAATCTATTGTCACTGGTGGCAATGGAAACCCTTCTTTCATGTTTACCTAAATAAAAAAATAATCACAATATTAAGTAAAAATAACGAAAAAAGAATTAGGTTTAATCGCATTATCTAAAAACAACTAAGTATTTGAACCCAATGATTTCTGTTTACAAAACCAATGCAGTAAATTGCTACATTCGGTGAAAATGAAGATGTCATAGGGAAGAAAGTACAACATTCAATTCCTAAACAGACAAGTACAACATTATAACGATTCGCTATCACATAACCCATATCTGGTAGAGTTAACCATTTATGTGGTGGTTGAGGACCAAATTCCTCTATCATCAAAGGTTCTCTCACTACTGCTAACTGATCAGTAAATAAATTGACATACAAACTTGATCTTTCATTATGTATTATTTCCAACCCCAAGTCTCGACGAACCATTGGCCAACCATCTTCACCATATCCATGCAATGAAGCAATGACTCAAAATCCATAATTACCATCTGATACAACATTAACTACATCATCAATATATGACCTGATGTGATTAGGAAATTGAAGGATGAACTGCTTAGATGACTGTGAAGATTGTGATAATTTCAACTTTTTCGAAGCCTGTGATGGTTGAGATTTCTTTTGTGAAGACTGTGATAATTTCAATTTCTTCGAAGTTTGTGATGGTTGAGATTGCATCTGTGAAGATTGAGATGCTTGATCAACATACTCGTGATACGAAGGGTCTCTATAAACATCATATCCTACTGGTTTTTTGTCTTTCTTCTTGACTCCCCCTTTAGTTTTTATTTTCTCAGGTGGTGGACACATAGAAGTCATTGTAGGGAAGGCAAGTTCAAAAACCCTACTTTTTAATGCCCTTTTCCCAACAACATCCAGTAACTTAAACCTTTTCCATAACTCATCTATTGCACTACTCATATCCACCTCTGATCCATCATCTACATCTTCGTCCAACTTAACTTCCATACTTAGTTTTCTCTAATGAACATGTACAACATCTATTGGTATCGGTAAACCATCAATTATATATCCTGTTAACTCACAAGCACAAGGTAATTCGTAGGTTGTTCTAAGAGTACAACGACATATTTCCTTGTTAGTTTCAACATAATCAACTCGTTTTAACTCTTCAGCAATGCGTCTCAATGCATCTCGAGACACTGAACCACGTAAATTATTATAAAATGGACTTATGTGGGCGTGCTCAACTTCATAAAAACTCTTTTGAAAAGAAGCTCTAATATTACTCAATTGTAACTTTAAGTTGTCATTCATAGCCTCCCAACATTTGACCATGTCACCAATACTGTTCCCCAACATTTGCTTTAACTTCCAATGAGCAGACTCAACCCTAAAATTAATACATATTTAAAATATTTTAAAAAAATTCAAAAAAAATATACAATTTAGAAATACTAAAAATAAATACATATTGATTAGCCGTGGTGTTACCCAAATGTAGCACTCGATTAATCCATGCTCCAACAAATCTTTGTCTATGTGGTGTCAACCATGTGTCCTTCACATAATCAATAAATTCATTACAATCAACACATGCCTGCTCAAGTTGGTTCAACCTTTGATCATACTCAACCTCATCACTAGCCCATACAACATTCGTCCATAATTCGTCAATTTTCTTTTGCATAGCCACGATTGTTTCCATTTTGCACCAACATTTTTGTTAATATGAAATCGACATAGCATATTGATCGACCTTGGAAACACAATTTCAATGGCTTTCATCAAAGCAAGATCTCTATCTGCCAAAATCACTTGTGGACACAAATCTTTCTTCACAAACAATTGTTTAAGCTTATCTAGCACCCAACAAAAAGTCTCAGTTTGCTCAGACTCAATATAGGCAAATGCGACAGCAAAAGTCAACTCGGTTGATGTCATGCCAACAATTTCAAACAGAGGTTGCCTATATTTGTTTGTCTTGTAAGTGTTGTCCATAACAAGCACAATAGGAAAAATATTCAACAACTTAACTGAATCTGGATGAGCCCAAAAGATATCTCTAATTACTTCAGAGTCATCTCTTTTTCTACTCCAATAAACATAACCTGCTTCCTCAATAAGCTTAAACAAATGTTATATCTCACTTCTAGGACCTCTTATATTTTTTTCTATCATACTCTTTTGTTTGTATATTTGCGTGATCCGAGTGACATTATCTGGATCTTGCTCTTGCAATGAAAGCAATATATGTCTAGGTGGAACCTTTCTCTTTGTCAAATCAACAACATGTTGCTTCTGATCCGCTGTCAACATACCGACAAATGCGTGACCTTCTAATCTATCAGGTAAATCATGGTTATGAACTCCACATTTTACATCAATCTTCCATTCAGATCCATCAGTCACTGGAATTGATCTGATTCTAAATGGACATCCACATTTTTTCGTCGCACTCTGGGTTCCACTATCAATATCTTTGTGTTTTTCTTCTTTATCACATCCAAATATTAATTTGTTACTTCTTCCTCTCTTGCCTGTTTTAATATCTGAACGAGTGATGATAACCGTAACTTTATTTCGGATTCTGATCTCTTTAATCCATCTTATTACCTCTTCTCGTGTACCAAATCTTTGAGTTGTTGAAAAAACATCAGACGTATCTACGCATATCTGATCTTTATCGCATATTTGTAAAGGAATTTCTGAAATAATTACATAAAAAAAATTGGACAATTCAAACCGGAAGACTTGTAGCAAGAGTTCTAGTAGCCAAAAAAACAAACTGGAAGACTTGTAAAAAGTCTTTCGGTTTGTTTTTTTGGCTACCGGAACTCTTGCTACAAGTCTTCCGGTGAACACCCACGAAAATTACCAAACCGGAAGTCTTTCCTGAAGTCTTCCGGTACAGTATTTTTGTGAACCGGAACTCTTTGCCCAAGTCTTCCGGTTTGAGAAAAAAAGCCTACCAGAAGTCATTTTCAAAGTGTTCCGATAGATCGTGGGATGAATTTTTCGGAAGTCTAAAAAATCTAAAAAGTGAAAAAAATAATAAAATATTAAAATATATAAGAATAAAATAGATATTTTTTAAAAAATATAGGGGTATAGGTATAAGTGCAGGAGTATAGGATAAAATTTTCTAAAGAGAAGCCACGTAGATAAATATAATATGTATTTTTAAAAATACTAAAACCTCTAGATTAAAATACAAAGATTTATCTTATAAATACAATTTGGTAGGACATTACCATGTAGAGAAAAGATCTTCTTTTTGCCACATACACTGTAATTTAATACAAAAGTCCATACTAATTCATTTTTTTAATAATTTATTTTATCTTGATTTGCGTGTAAGACAATTTTGCTTTGTTTATAAATACGGTATATGATACGATGTAGCAAAGCTTTATCATGTATCTTGTAAATACAATTCGGTAGGACATGAGATCCTCCACTTATTTATTTTTAAGAAGTAAAATTATAATTATTAAATTACTTGATCAAAAGAAAATAAAAGTTTAGACTTACAATCAAATTTTACATGTTGCTTTGTACAGTAAATTGTGTAGGTGTAAAATAAACTTCATTCAATCCGTTGTATAGTAAATAGAAGAGATTAAAAAAGCATTAGACAATGAGTAGAGAGTTGATACATCCAAAGATATAAATTTCAAGAAGTTCTAGATCATAAAATTTAACATTAAAAGGTTTAAGTCATGCATTAACTAAACCAAAAATTAGACACTTTATTTTATAATCCCAACATCATTCTGGGAAAGATAATAATAATTGAATAAAAGAACAATAGTGCTGCAATAACTCGAGGATTAAGAAGACCCCAATGTTCATATAATTGTATTTGAATATAGAATTCAACAAGCAAAACTGAAATGAAAATAAAGACATCAAATTTAATGCACGTGATAACTATTCCATAACAGGTTACAAAATACTCTCAAACTTTCAAGTTCCAAACTATACAAACCCTAACAATTATATACACACATATAGCACTTTATATACTAGCGCCACCATGTCATTTTATTCATCTCTATCATCTCAAAACTAAACAAAACCTATAATAATCAAATAACTAAAACTAAGCAAATCTTTAATAACGATTAACAAAGAAAGCACCAGTTCCAATCTCAACAAAGAAAGCACCAGTTCCAATCTCTATCATCCAAAGTGTTGTTGGTTGTCAGGTTGAACTTTGTGAGAGAAGGCTGAGTTACGTGGAACTTGATATTAGAGGGGGCAAAAGTGATGGCTAGCAAGAAGATCATCCAGGAAAAAAATGAAAGCACAAAAAGTGTGAGGAGTGTAAGCTTCATTTGCTCCCATGAGGGTAGGATGTTCTCTGGGAAATTATCGAGAAAATTGAAATTGATGGCCATGGTGATGTAATTTGAGTGAGGCTTTGAAATCTAACTCTTCCAAATATGACGATATATATAATAGTTGGTTAGAGTTTGTTATTAGGTAGTTAGTTGGTTAGTTAGTTAGGTAGTTAGTTGGTTAGTTTTTTTTTTAATTTCTCACAAAGTTTAGAGTCTGTTACATATTATAAAAATTGCAAAAACCACCTTTCTTGATATGTACATTTGTAGTAATTTTATTTTGCTTTTCAAAGTTGGGTGGTATAGTGTTGATTGAAGTTCAATGCATTTTTCAGAATTACATGATTGATTTAAAGAGTATATATCAGTAAATTCTGTATTTGTTTTACTTAGCTGCCTAATCTATTACAAGTACAGTTGCGAGTTAGTTATGCTATCTAACCAACTCTATAAACCTGAGTTTTCAAACTAAGATAATCAAGAAAATATTTTACATATTTTCATATTCATTCTAAGCCTCCATGAATCTGAGAATTAAGAAAGTTAACACATTAACTATTAGGGTACACTTATATAACCAAATAGTTATAAAATATATCACAAGATAATTAATAATATGCATTGAGATCAAAAGCATGGCAAGAATCAATGTCAAAATACCAATTATCTGTTAAAGGTTGTGGTCATAATCAAAGATTGTGGTAATGGTAAAAGATTATGGTCAAGGATTGTGAATGAATAAAGTCACAATTTGTGGACTAAGAAAGAAACACCTATGATTTTGTAACAACTCCTATGTTTTTGTGAAGATGAGCACCTATAAATAGAGGTGCATTTCTCATTCCTAACACAACAACATAAAACATTGCAACATAAAATAAAAAAAAAATGTAGAGAGATGGAATATATTGTATTTTCTCCTATAAAGTTCTTTTAGTGAGTGTTCTCCTATTACAAGAGAGAGTGTAATTTATTCTCTCCTTGTATATAGAGAGAAGTGTTGTAATTTCTTTCACTTAGTGAAAATCTTTTCTACTGGTGCCTGTGGTTTTTCTCTTATTTGTTGAGGGTTTTCCACGTAAATATTCTGTGTCAATTTTCCTACTCTTTGATCTCTTATTTTGTGATATTTATCTTACTAATTTGATACTCAACAGTGGTATGAAAGTTGTTGGTGTCGGTCTCTATTTATGCTGCGGAGTACGGTTACTATTCACACATGTGGTTGTATACTTTTGCAGTGATTGTTAACTTATACTAGATCTATTCTAGTGTACGGTAAAAATATACAATATTGTTCATGTATACTGTGCTATTCGCGACGAAATTGTGTAAACCAGTTCGGTGAAAAAAAATGGCTGCAAAATTTGAGATTGAAAAATTCAGTCAGAGTAATTTCTTCCTGTGAAAATTGAAGATGCAAGCAATCCTGAGGAAGAATAATTGCTCACCAGCAATTAAAGGTATACTTACAGATATAACTAATGAAAAATAGAGAGATATGGATGACAATGATGTTGCCAATTTGCACTTAGCAATAGCACATTCAGTTTTGTCATGTATAGCATAAAAGAAAATTGCAAAGGAGATCTGGGATACTCTCATCCAACTGTACGAGGTCAAGTCACTTCACAACATAATTTTCTTAAAGAGGAGACTATA